TTTGGTTCGTCAAATGCGAATAAGAAACTATCTCTCCTCGAGCAACAGAAGAGGCTGCAAGAAGAGCGCGCCAGAAAGGAAGCAGAGAACAGGTCCAAGTTTGAATCGCAATTCGGGGGGCAAAATGCTCAGTTCTGGGATAAACTGGAGAAGGCCGGGAACAAGAATCCCTTTGCATCGACACCAAGTCCTGTACCGCAGCGATCTCCGTCCGCCGATGAGGATGATCTTCTTGCTGCTTTCGACGCCTCTGCGCCTGTAGATGCTTCGACGAACTTCCCGATCCCGATCCCGAGCCCCTCGCCGCAGATCGCGCAGAGCGCCTCTATCGCGGCGGCGCAGCTGCATCAGACCGGTGGGATGTCATTCAAGGAGGTCGACGATGATCCTTTTGGCCTCAATCAGATAAAGTCGAGGCCAACAGCAACCCCGCAGCCCGCTCAGACCGACGACGATGACTTCCTTGGCTTGCTGGGAAAGCCAGTTTCTGAGGTCTCTCGCCCCGCGCCCGAGCCATCGCCGAAACCCGCATCTCCGGTCATCCATGAAGATCATGCGCCTTCCCCCAAGCCGTCAAACGGTGTCGATCGAGCGATTGCAGAGCTTGTAGACATGGGCTTTCCCGCAGACAAGGCCAGCCAGGCACTACGGGCAACGGCGTCTGGAACCGACGTCCAAGCTGCTGTGAGTCTGCTTCTGACACAGGCACATGAAGAAGCTCGTCAGAAATCGAGAAATAAAGCACCGGCCCTCGATCGCGATTTCGACCACCAGGAACGCAGCAGAGAACGGAGCTTAAGACAAGATCGTGACGTTCCTTCCTGGATGAGAGAGGAGCAATCCAGAAGCCGTGCCAGCAATCGATCCCCAGCATCGACAAGCAAAGATGCGTCACAGATTGCCGCTACTTTTGGTAACAATTTCTTGAAAACAGCGAATTCACTGTGGAAACAGGGAAGCAAAAAGGTTCAGCAGGTCGTGAATGAGCTCAACTCAGAGCATGATCAGTCCCAGCCGCGATGGCTGAAAGAAGCTTCGGCCCGTCAGGAGTCTTGGCCACAGCCAGCTGCTAGTGTCGACCGGGCTGCTAAAACTTCGCACAGGAAGCCCGAGGTTCTAACAGATGAGGCTCTTCTCCTTGAAGCTGGGGCTGCTCCCGGCCCAACTCGTAACCAATCCCGAGTCAGCGAAAGGCCCTCGTCGCGAACGCATAGCAATGGCTTACGGAGCCAACAGTCCCCAGCTGGAGAGGCGCATACCCCGCAGCCCGCTTTCATGCAGCAGCAGTTGAGAAACGAATTACTGAATCCCAAGTCTCGTGTGACCAAAAACCTGGTTGAAGAGCAGACGGCACAAGCGTATGTTAGCCCTGCTAGAAGAAGACAGCCTGCTGCGCAACCATCTGCTGCTGAGACCAATGTAGATCTATTCGACTCTCCCGCACCAACACCGCCAGCCAACCGATCGCGGCCGACTCCGCCCCCAGCACAATCTTCAAAGCCACCTGCACCATCAAAACCTCTTCCTGTTCGCGCGAAGGCTCCTCCCCGAGTCGTTCCGCAGCTGTCACAGGAAAGTCTCACATCGACTCATCGGCATCGTGAGAAAGGCGCAGAGGCATACAAAAGAGGTGACTATGCCGCAGCTCACGATGCCTTCACGTCTGCCCTCACGATGCTACCTGATAAGCATCCTATCACCATCATCATCCGCAGTAACCGTGCGATGACAGCCTTAAAGGTCGGCGAGCCGAAAGTGGCCATCAGTGATGCGGACGCCATCTTGGAGCTGATTGGCCCCTCAAAAGGAGAAGCCGAAACCATTGATCTCGCTAACGGCGAAACGACAAAGCCAATGAAAGATTTCTACGGCAAAGCCTTGATGCGCAAAGCCGAAGCTCTGGAACAATTAGAACGCTGGGCCGATGCCGCTCAGGCATGGAGACAGGCGGTCGAGAACGGCCATGGCGGAAGTACTAGTATCCAAGGCCGGAACAGATGTGAGAAAGCTGCTGGTATCAGCAAACCCGCACCGAAACCTTCCGCGCCGGCGAAGCGACCCCCAGCACCCGCTCCGAAGAAGCCGTCGGCCTTGGACGACCTCCGAGGTGGCTCGCCGTCGACGGGCGGATCCTCCGAGGCTGTCAGCCGTTTGCGAGCGGCCAACCAGGCAGCCGAGCGCGCGGACGAGGAAAAATTCGCCCTCGGTGAGAGCGTCGATGCGCGGCTAAACGCTTGGAAGGGCGGGAAGCAGGACAACCTTCGCGCACTGCTCGCTAGCCTGGACACAGTCCTGTGGCCGGAAGCAGGCTGGAAGAAGATCAACATGTCGGAGTTGATTCTGCCGAATAAAGTCAAGGTGCAGTACATGAAGGGGATTGCCAAGGTGCATCCTGACAAGGTATGTTGTGTTTTGCGGTATTGGTGAAGAGACCACAGCTAAGACGGGCTAGATTCCTACCGACGCCACGACCGAGCAGCGCATGATCGCAGGGGCAGTATTTGGTGTCCTGAACGAGGCCTGGGACAAGTTCAAGGTAGAAAACAACCTCTAAGGCACAACGCCATTCGTCATCAGAAACAATTCGCGATGCTTCAAGGATGCATGTCTTATGCCTGCTCCTACAATGCTCTGCTTCTGTCCACATTTATATCGCCCATGACTCTGAGCCCATTTCCTCACTCATACCGTATTCTAAATGCATTGGCACATTCTAGTTGAACTTTTCAAACTCTTGCGCTGCGCCCACAGGGTACAATTCTCTTATGCACTGATTCTCATTGTACATAGACATACACTCGCATATTCATCAGGATCCCATGTTCATATATTAGGATCATCCCAGATCCTCCAAATTTTATGGCATACATGGAGTCAGGATCATGAGGTGCCTGATCATTCATCTTGGTATTGACTCAAGCGTCTAGATTATATCACAATAGCGACAATCCCGATCTATAGTTGGGTTTTCTGGGGCCGCGCAGGAGCTTCTGCTTTTTGTGCCTCTTCCTGCGCCTCCTTCTCCTTCGCTTCCTTTTTCAATTGCTTCTTGCCTTTCGGTTTTCCTGCGTCCGGTGATCCCCCCGTCTTGTGAGCAGGCCAGGTCTGCCGACACCTTTGCTCGTCTTTCTCTGTCCATTCGCGGGGTAGAATAGCAAAGACGAGGTACGATGTGTGCGTTTTCAGGTCCGGCTCGGTGCGATGTACCAGGCGGCCGAGGTTGTACGATGGGGTCGAGGATGGAGCTGCCGTTGTGCCCGGGTGCTGCGTTATGTCGTGTAGGGGTTTCTCTTCGACTTCTATCTTCTCTGGCTTGGTTGCTGCTGGTTTGTCAGAGGCGGTGCCTTCATCGTCGCTCTCTTGAAGGAGAGACTCGCGGAATTTCTTCGAGTGTTCCTCGACGACGCGCATCTTCGCGACGGCTTCGTCCACGGACTTGGGGAAGACGGTCGCGCCCCGGACACCTTCGCAATCTAATCCGCACCGTTCGCGTTTGACATCAATCCGACGGTGATTCACCTCGACCATCGATATTGAGAGCCAGGAATGTTCGCGGAGCGTGCTGATCGTCCGTTGCGCTTGCTCGAGACATGGGGAGAACGTGCATATATATACAGGCGAGGAGGGATCTAGGGGCGATTCCGCTCCTGAAGGGGGGCTGCGGACGAGATGCTTGAGCGCTAGCCATGGCGCGGGCAGGTCGAGGAAGATCGCGTTGGCTCTTGGCGATTTGCCGGTTTTCGAGTCCCCGAGGAGAAATCCATCTTCGTAAACGTCGCGGTGGGTCACCTCGACCAGTCCATCCAGGCCGTGGTCATGAATTTCTTCCCGGACTCGTTGCGCGCGCTGTGCGTGGAACTCGAAACTGCAGACCTTGCCTAGCCTTCTTTTCTTGGCAGCGGGTGCGTCGGAGGGGTATCCGTTAAAGACTGCGCGGACGGATGCATGTGTGAACGAGCCGCTCCCAGCTCCTGCCTCGATAATTGTGCACCCGGGGCGAACGCAGAGCCGATGCAGAATGTAGCTGTAGTCCGGTGTGTAGACAACCTGCGTCCGATGCGGGAGCGACGCGGTCCACAGCTCCGGTGTAGGGTATAGAAGATGAAGGAACCCGCTGGCCGCCGCGACAGGGGTGCCAGGCGAAGATTGCGCCTCCTCTTTGTTCGATGTCGGGGTATCCAAATCATCCGCTTTGCGCTTCTTGGGTGGCTGATTCTTGCGCCCCCGGGACCCTGTGTCTACTACGGAGGCGACAATTTGCGATCCCCACAGTTGATCGATAAGCGTGCTGTGCGGAAATGACCCGAAGCGGGTGTTGGTGACTTTTCCCTCCTTGTAACCTTGATTTTCGTCGTCTTGTAGTTTGAGTATAGTCGGGATGGTCTGGTCTCTGCGGAGATGAAGTAAAGCAAGATCACCCAGTTCAGACCGAAGGCGGTGGTTGAGGAATGGGGAGCCCATTGCGACTGCCTGCAATCGCAGAGGAGCGGCGAAGGAGGTACAAAGGTCGTTAAGGAAAGAATCTGGACTGATATATCTCTATCCTCGAGCAATCATTGAAAGTCCTCATCTCTAAACTACTAGTACTACAGCGGCGACAAGCCTTGGAGAATCTCCGATGCGGTCTAGACCCGAAACAGCTTACACTCAGGGCTTAGGGCTCAGGGCTAGATGTGAGGGCGAGCAACTGCTGTCACTTTCTGGGCTCTGATTCGCTGCATGACTCTTGGCCCATCCATTCAGATTCAACCTCAGGCTCTCAGGCTTCCATGAGTCACCCAGTTAGGTAGTTTGAACCCCTTGGTAGGTAGATAGTTGTCAGGTTGCTCAACCCCTCCCCCTCGTTTTAGGTGGTCGTACCAAATCCCATCTTCCTCTTCTCCCCTCCGTCCTTGATGCCCATATCCTTCTCTCGTATCCCACTCTCGGTCTCCTCTTTTGCAAATCCCTCAAAGGCCCGGTTGTCGCTCCTTTCTCCTCTGTTGATTTTTTCTAGATCCATGGCCACCGCGCGCCAGCAGCCGCCATGGCGGCAACCAACAGAGTATCCCGAGGCCAAATCTCGCTTACCACCTCTGAAGATCTGGAATTCGTTGACGCGATCCAAAAATCCATTCATTCCAATTGACCCTGAAGGAAAGAAGGTGACCTGGTATGCTTGTGGGCCGACTGTCTATGATGATTCGCATCTGGGCCATGCCAGGAACTATGTCAGCACAGATATCATTCGGCGTATCATGCGCGACTACTTTCACTTCGATGTGAATTTTATCATGAATATTACAGATGTTGATGACAAGGTGTGTAAGACTTTACTTTATCATTGGTCGCTTTAGCCATTGTGCTGACGCAGTGACATCTAGATCATCCTCCGAGCGCGCCAGCAGCATCTCTTCAACGAGTTCGTCTCCACCCACCCTACAATCAACGCCGAAGTACTGGACGTTGCGCGAAATGCATATACCGCCTATTTGAAGAAGAATCTTCCGCTACTGGCCCCCGAACTGCCCCCGGCGCAGTATCACGAGGAGGTGGAGAAGGTCTACGCGACTGTGCTGAATGGAGGACCTTTACCCGGCAACGAGAAGGCGGGCGATGATGAGGCAAAGGTTAAGATGCACATCAAGACCGTGGCGTCAGCTGCGAAGGTGATCGCGCAGGCGGAAGGCCTCAACCAGGCTACTGCCCCCAAGGGCTTCGCCGAGTCCTTCTACACAAATGCTCAAGACCTTCTCCTCCAATATCTGGATTCGCTCAAGGGGTCCTCGATCAATGCCGACGATCATTCCATTTTCACCAAGTTGACGAAGAAGTACGAGGAACGGTTCATGAAGGATATGCGCGATCTCAACGTCCTTGACCCCGACGAGTTGACTAGGGTCACCGAGTATGGTGCCGAGATTGCGGACTTTGTGGAGAAGATCGTTGAGAACAAGTTTGGCTACGTTACAGACGACGGCTCGGTATACTTCGATATTACTGCTTTTGAGAATGCCGGGCACCCCTACGCCCGGCTTGAGCCCTGGAGCCGGTCCGATAACAAGCTGCTCGCGGAGGGAGAAGGCGCATTGACCAAGAAGACAACGGACAAGCGTTCAGCCTCCGACTTTGCACTTTGGAAGGCGTCGAAGCCTGGTGAGCCCAGCTGGACGAGCTCCTGGGGTCGGGGCAGGCCGGGTTGGCACATTGAATGCTCTGCGATGGCTTCGGCCAAGCTTGGTAAGCAGATGGATATTCACTCGGGAGGGGTTGATCTAGCTTTCCCCCACCATGACAACGAGCTGGCGCAGAGTGAGGCTTATTGGTCCCATGGCCACTCACACACTGACCAGTGGGTGAACTATTTCTTGCATATGGGTCATCTGTCGATTCAAGGGTCAAAGATGTCGAAGTCGCTCAAGAACTTCACAACCATCCGTGAGGCACTAGAGAAAAAGGAGTGGACTCCGCGCAGTCTCAGAATTGTCTTCTTGCTCGGCGGTTGGAGGGACGGCGTTGAAATCACAGAGGAACTCGTCAGTGCTGGAAATTCTTGGGAGGACAAAGTCAACAATTTCTTCATCAAAATGAAGGATCCTGCGACTCTATCAGGCCAGACATCGGGCTCTGACACCACGCTTCCTGCCGCTCTGGAGGCTGCGAAGAAGGCTACTCACGATCATCTCTGCGACTCCTTCAATACGCAGGGAGCGATGTGGGCGATTTCTGAACTGATCTCGAAGTACAACGGCGCCGACAAGTCTACACTCAATTCCAAGGATGTCGAGGCTGTTGCACGGTGGGTGACCTCGATGGTCAATATCTTCGGTCTGAATGGCAGCGCGACCGCCGACAGCACAGAGATTGGCTGGTCAGGTATTGATGTGCCTGAAGAAGCCAAGCCTTTCCTGTATCCGCTCTCCAGCATGCGTGACTCTCTCCGCCAGGCTGCTCGGGCTAAGGAGGGGGTTACTGCTGAGGCTGTTGCGGAGATTGTGAACAAGGGAACCGTGCCAGAGCAGGGCGAGACTGAATCCGCAAGACCTTATGCCGAACTTCTTTCGAACTTCCGCACTAAGGTGTCCTCTCTCCAGCAATCTGAGTCGATTGGCAAGGAGATCCTGGCTCTATGCGATCGCGTCCGCGACATCGACCTGTTCGATCTGGGCATCTACCTTGAAGACCGGGAAAACCTTCCCGCCTTGGTCCGCCCTGTTACCCGAGAACTGATCCAGGCCCGGGAAGAAAAGGCAGCGCGGGCGCGGCAGAAGCAGATTGAAAAGGAGAACAAGGAGAAGGAAGCTCTCAAGAAAATGGAGAAGGGCAAACTGAGCCACCTGGAGATGTTCCGGACCAACGAGTACAGCGCCTGGGATGAAGAGGGTATCCCTACTCGCGATGCTGCAGGCGAGGAGATTACAAAGAGTCGGGCGAAGAAGCTTCGAAAGGACTGGGAGAGACAGAAGAAGCTACATGAGACTTGGCTGGCCAGTCAAATGGGCGCCAAATAGGGGAAAGGATGTGTCGTAAAACAGTTTTTCTGATGTATCTTTGCATTACATGGCGTTCTTGGTTCGCCGTCTGGCAAACTCTTTCGGTCTATATCTATATCTACAACTGTCTCTGATGATCATCTATAGCAATCAACCAAGTCATTGGAAATATTGGGTCTTCCATAGCTTCGTAACATTGTTGAATGAAGTGGTTTATGCAGTTTATGCACCGCACAAAATCCCCGGATCACATGCGGAGAGCTCAGGTGATCCACTACAGAGCACGGAGTACAAAGAACATGATTATTCGATCATCTCATCAGAAGAAAGGCACTCCTAAAAGAGCAAGGTTAGCTCTGGGTCTATTCCCACATACCACATCCCACATCCGAAACATAATCGGCCCATCTGGAGATACCTCCGAATTAGGGATCGTTGGCCGACAAACCGCAGGCCGACATCTCTCGACCTCGGCAACTCGCCCTCCCCACACGCCCGCGGTTACACAGCCTGTAAGCACAACGGGGTCGATTTCTCAGCATAGCGAGGTGGTCAACTTATGTTAATAGCTGCTTCTTTCCTGTTTTTCTAGAGATTTCTCTGAAGACTTTGGCATAGAAGAATTCAACCTTTTTTCGATTTTAGAACTTGATAGTGGTGTTTCGTTCTGTTGGCTCCTCTCCGCAACAAGATGCCTTTCCACACTGCGTTAACGAGGAAACTGGGCATTACCAGTGAGTTGCATGGACTGGGAGTTGTTGAAACGGGCTCGGGTTGCTAATGGATTTACAGTCCCTGTTGTACAGGGTGGTATGCAATGGGTTGGATACGCAGAGCTCGCTGCGGCGGTTAGCAACGCAGGTGGTCTGGGAATTGTACGTCTACGAAGCCCTCGACACATCGAGTCTGGAAGACAATAGCTAACTCAACAAAGCTCACTGCACTCACGCAACCCACCCCCGAAGACCTCCGCAAAGAGATTCGCCGATGCCGGACCATGACCAAGAACCCCTTCGGCGTGAACCTGACCCTCCTCCCAGCCCTCGTGCCCCCAGACTACGCCGCCTATGCACAGGTCATCATCGACGAAGGCATCAAGATCGTCGAGACAGCCGGCAACAACCCCGGCCCCGTGATTTCGCAGCTGAAGAAGGCCAACACGATCATCCTGCACAAGTGCACGACCATCCGCCACGCCAAGTCCGCCGTGAAGCTGGGCGTCGACTTCCTCTCCATCGACGGCTTCGAGTGCGCCGGCCACGTCGGCGAGCACGACATCACTAACTTCATCCTGCTCAGCCGGGCGCGCCAGGAGCTCAAGGTTCCCTTCATCGCCTCGGGTGGGTTCGCGGACGGACAGGGTCTTGCGGCCGCGCTGGCGCTCGGTGCGGAAGGTATCAACATGGGTACTCGTTTCATGTGCACTGTTGAGGCGCCCATCCATCAGAAGGTCAAGGAGGCCATCGTGGCGTCGGACGAGAACAACACCAACCTTGTTTTGAGACGGTGGAGGAACACCACCCGTCTGTTCAAGAACAAGGTTACGGAGGAGGCACTGAAGGTCGAGAGGGAGAGCAAGACAGGCGAGTTTGCCGAGATCGCGCCCTTTGTTAGCGGCAAGAGAGGCCGTGAGGTGTTCCTGAACGGCGACGTCGACTACGGTGTAAGTTCTTATCCTCTCCCCCCCCTTTTTCCCCCTTTCCGTTTACATCCCTTGTTCTTTACGCCGGGATTCCATGAGCTAACAGGGTTTGATTCGCAGGTATGGACCGCTGGTCAAGTCATTGGTCTGATTCACGACATCCCAACGTGCGCGGATCTCCTGCAGCGGATTGAGAAAGAGGCCGTCGTGGCCATCGATCGGTCCAGGTCGTTGCACACGGCAACCGCAGGCCAAAGCAAGCTGTGAGGCTGGCCCATCTAGCTCTCTTGCAATATTTCGTATGTTCAGCAATCTACCTTGGGATAGTTGGATCATGGATGTTTGTCATTGGTACCAGGAATGTAGATCCTCAATATAAGGGAGATGAAGACTGGACCGCGTCTTTCCTTGTTGATCCTAGTGTAGCTAAACCTTTTCCTCCGGAATGTAAGGAGTTTTGGCTCAATATTTCTGGGGTCTCCATATTTACTTGAGAATGCACGGAGCTTATCCCTTGCCTCCCTTTCATAGCGCGGCGGACAATAGCCCTGAGTCCTGGCGGACATTTATCTCGGACGCGAACGTGACTTTCTCAGAGCATCGAGTGAAAGAGAAGCAAGAGCGCTATCTGAATCACAGATGTGTGAATGACGTAAGAAGTGTCGCGTGTTCCAAAGAAGCTGGATCAAATGGAGTAGAAGGGATTCAGTGTAATGTCCATACCTAACTAATCATTGCATCTATTGGAACTCAGCAAAGTCATAAGATTAAGATCAACCATATACCAATATGTACATTTGCCCTTTTTCTCGAGTAGAGCTCACTCACAATCACGCAAATGAAGCCATAGACTTTAAACATGTCTCTGGTCCTTACTTCGTGTTACACTCTACGCCGAGCATAAAGCTCCAATCGTTTGAGTAATCAGATATCAAATGGATGGAACCATGTATCAGCCTGAGATAATGTCTCAAGCGTCCGACAGAAGGTTAATTTGTTTGTTGACATTGTGGCCACTGGTGAGATGTGACGAGAGGCATCTATATATGTCCATAGACGTAGCTGTAGCTCGACTACATCTGATTCATCCACGTCAGTTTCAAGGACTAAGAGTTTTCCCTCAGAGAGTGTACTGTGCCTCGATCGTCTTCGGAATCCATGAACGGGGCCCTCATTGCAAGCATGGACTTGATATCGTCGATCTTTCCGTGTGTCCAGCGTCGGAAGCCGCTGAAATTTCCGGCTCAAGAGCAGAATGGCGTCCCGCCAGAGGCCGAAGCGTCTCAAGCCTCTCCGGCAGCGTCAGGAACCGTAGCCAGCAAGTCCTCTCAGAGGATGTCAATTCGGATCGTTGAAGCAGTCGATTCGCAAACGACCATTTGCCCTGAGGAGCCCGTCAATGACCATGACGGAATCCAGGAGAACGAGAAACAGAGACCTATTATCTCACCAGTCGAGGAGAGAGACGCAGACTCAGAACAAGGCGCCAACGTCAAAGTCATCTATATGGATCTCGGCGGCGCCCCGACAGCAACCCACGACCGGCAGGAGCAAGCCTCTTGCAAAGAACCCCAGATTCCCACACTGCCCCCAAAGGCCGCGAAGCTCCCAGAGGTCAAAAGCCGCATGATAGAGAACATCCCCGAGGAAGACGACGGCGACGACGACGACGACTTTGCACACGCGGACAACACCACATCATGCGAGGATCCCACCGAGAAATCATCTCAGGAACAAGACTCGGGAACACCCCGAGACGCCAAACGCAGCTCGACCTGGCGCCAGAGCTCCAGAAAGTCTCTGGTCGACATCATCAACCTCCTGCAATCGACCACAACCAACAACATCAACACCCTCCGCATCAACAGCCTGAAGTGGCCCTTACCACCCAGATCACCAAACCGACCCTCCACAGCCTTATCCTGCCGCTCTTCGTCGTCGTTGAGCTCCTCGATAACAGCCACTGTAGAGTTGGAGAAGCCCAATCCAATCGTCAAGAAAGAAAGGCGGATGGGAGCCGCGATCCTCCCCACGATCCGACTGGGGGTCCGGAGATGGAGCAATGACTGCGGCAACGACTACGGGAACAATACCAGCAGCACCAAGGGCCCTCTTTTTTGCGAGTAACGGAGTTTGGAGTCCGGGTTTGTTTGACTCTTGGTTTCGGTCTGTTTTTGCGGTTGTGGGGTCTGTGTTCCTGTGGTCATTAGGGGGGCCTGGTTTGGTAGTGTGTTTTGCTTGTGGATATTAGATTCTTCTTCCGTTTTGTTACATCTCTCTTCTCTTGTGTTTTGATATATATACATACTTTACAATGACTTAATCTTGTATACTTTCTGGCAAAGAAGGGCATTTCAAGCTAATGCGATATTCCTTTGTGCACTTTCGACCAGAGAGTAGTAAGCTATTCTACTCGATGCTGGGAGCAAAGTCCTTTGAAGTGACTGGAGACAATGGCGATGGACCACTATATGGGTCAACTATAACAGTACATCGGGTTCTGAAATTATCAACCATGGCGGAAACCGGTGGGGTGCACAACTACAGACCTTGAAGTCACCAAGTGATTCACATGAGCGGCTTCAAGTGGCTTTGGAGTTACAGAAATGGTGGCGGTATCCATAGGAATAATGAGGGTCACAGACTATATTGCATGGTTTATGGGCAGAGAAAAGGGTTATGAGGCAAGTCTATGCATTAAATTATGTATGACAAAGCCAGCATCGATAAATGCTGTCTGGCCACATGTGGAAGGTATAGGGAAAAAACAGTGCAATCTTCTTTCTCCGAGTGCCACACGGGACAATTAATGATACACATCTGAGCAACAGGTACCCCATCTATCAAACAGCAGATTCACGGCACCCTGCTCCCTACCCCGAGCCGCCATATGCAATCTCCAAACGCTGGCCAAGAGCGCCAACACCACAAGCGACGAGTAGCTTACAGGATAGAGCCGAGCGCAATGCAAGGAAGGCCAAGACCAATGAGGGAGTCGCTCTGCTGGCGGTCAGTAGAGAACATACGGCTTGAGGAAGTAACTTACGGCATCGGAAGGAGAGTTCTGGCAGCAGGCAATGTTCTGCTTGCACTTCTGGTTGACGAGATCCTGAACGGCGATAGCAATGATGGGGACTGGAGAATGTCAGCTTGAACGACCAGTCTTCGAAGGGAGAACATTGCGTACTCTGGAGGTCCAGCTTGGAGCACTGGTCGAAGAGACCAAGACCCTCGGAGCCAGATCCACCACCGATGAGGTTCTTGAGGGTACCAGCGAGGATACCCTCGTCGATGTCGGTGACATCACCGGCGTAGGTGGCCTTGTTGCAGCAAGAGAGCTGAGCCTGGTCACCACACTTCTCGGTAGCCTGCTTGATAGTCATGTCGTCAGGGACAGGGAAGCGGACGTTGGCGTTGCCCTTGTTGCCAACGCCGTTGCCAGCAGCATTAGCATCATGCTGAGGAAGGGCGGCCACGGAGACGGCGAAAGCGAGGACAGCAGCGCTCAGAGTAAACTTCATTGTGACTGTGGGGTTGGTTTGGAGAGAGTGAAAAAACTCGGAGTGATTTGGGTTTTGAAGAGAAGTGAGAAGATTGTACTTCGAAGGAAAGGCTTGTCAACGAGTGTGATGGTTGATGGGGAAGAAAGAGACCGGGTACAGGCGATGCGAAGAGATCCTTATATAGACTCAGGTGGAGGCAATTCAGCTCTTTGTCGGTGCTAGCTCTTCATGCCCTTGATCGAGCTCTCTATCATTGCAGCTATCCAGCTCGAGTCCCTGGGTGGAATGTGGTATGCGAGGACTCCATCGTGATTTGTCCTCAGGAGTCAGAACCACATTATCGCAATCTCTGAGCGCTGGGTTGAAGCTCTCCACCCCAGCGGTTGGTATGGATCTGCAAAGTGTTTGATTGTTCTGAGCCAACAAGTCAGCATCGAGCATACCACGGCCTGGTACACCAGGCGGCCGTGCATCGACTGGACCGCAAAGTCCGCGTCTTCTGTCTTATTCCCCTTGCTCTGACCCGTCGATCATTCATGCAAGCGGCAATCTCATCTGCGCCTGCTTCCTTGTTGGGTTGCATTACCTGCGACGGAGCTATCAGACTTACCGCATTCACAAGACCTTCCTTCTCAGTCTTCCTATCACACGATTGGGGCCAATTTCTACGCTCAAGCCATTCCATCAGTGGCGCATCCTGTACCACTCCACTGTAGCTTGATACAATGTGAGAACTTGCTGGCATAGCACGGGAAGGGCTGACCCTCAAGTGACGATGGATCGGAGTATTCAAGGGCCTCTCATGAGGTATGCAGGTGCCAATTGTTTCAACGTGCGTGCTGCTGAGTTAGCCCTAGGTTGCAGAGGCTTTGCAGGGCCTACAAAGCGTTGTTGTTTGTCTGCAAGGGACTCTCCATCTAGTTCAATTGGTCGACCGTATGTAATCACTGCAAGGGTTACGAAGTCATAGACCCCGTCCCATTTCCTCCAGCAGTCCAGCCTCAGTTGATCTCATAAAAAACAAGATTGGAATTTTTCCGAGTGTGCTCGAGCCGGTACTCTTGCATCTCCCCTCGCTGAGAGCTCCAGTTAGCCTCACGTGGGCAAGGGGAAGCTAATTTCCTCCTTTGGTTTGTGCCTGGCAGCAAACGAGGCAAGGGGCTATCAATCGGAACTATGGAGTACGTAGATACGTGCTTCTTCTGATGGCCACAAGGTAGGCAATCCTGTCTTCCCCGAAGGTAAGTCGCTTAGCCAGGGAAAGGGAAGGATGAATCCTCCGTTCGCAGTTGTTCGTTGCTGAGTCTTGATGAAATCGACCTGGTTCTCATTCCGTTTTCACTCTAGCTCACATGCTGCTGTCAGGGAAACTCTCTTCCGCTCCACATTACTCCATTGAGGATCTTCCAAAATAAACAATCAAGAGTCTCCTCGTGCTGGATGGATGATGAGATGGTCGCATGGCCTAATCATGAGTTGCAGTCATGTCAGCAGGCATCTCGACAGTGTAGCTGTATTCCAATCCGTAGAAGAGGTGCTGCACAACTGTGGTTTCTTCAATCATGGGACCATTTAAAGCAAAGATTGTGCTTGCTCATCGTCATACTGTTCCTGCCCACGCTGCTTGTCTCTGTATGATGTCTCATTTCGAGGTGGGAGTATGGTTCAATCTAGAGCATGCGTTCTTCGAACATTCAGTTGACCAGACTACGTATGTTAGTAGACCAGGTTTAGGGACTCCATTGTCATTCTTACTGTTATCTTCTGAAGCAATACATGGTGGGTGTTGGGGCTGAGTCTACATAGGTCACAATATATATATATATATCACGAGTCCGTACCATATCCACCAACAAAAAATTTCCGCAACATGTAGGAACGATCAATTATATACTACGGACTTAACATGTAGACATTAAATATGAATAGCACTACATGAGCTACGATATGTTATTTCTTAATGCTGTCCTGAGCTTCGTTGGTCTATACAGGGGAAAGAAGTGATGAGACGGAACATGGAGTATATTGAGGACCTCTCAATGCATTACTACCTAGTCCTCGACTAGTCTGGAGAATCCTAATGGCAGAAAAAGCTTCATTTTGACTGTAGTATCGACTAGCTCCCACTATCACCTCATCCTAGACCAGCGCAAACTACCACTCGGCGTCCCCAAAGTCTCATCGACCTGGATTTCTATTTTTGTGATAAATGCTTGGTGTGATTCTATGGTCCGTCCAAGTGCCTTTAATCTTGGTTATCTAAGCGGTTACATTCTCTGCCTCCTACTCTTGCTCGCCCATTATCCCTTGACGAAGGCAGGACCAAATGATAATGAGAACTTTGAGTATAATCAATCATCCGTTTCAAAAGTCTGGATTCGCGCTCAATGGAATGCTCAGGTTAAGTTTCAAATTACTGACTGCTAGACTATGCCGAAGCTTTCTTCCCATTGCTGGACCTTGCACGTTCTGCTTTACTGGTCCTTGCCCGGCTCCTAGATCACGAACATCTAGATAGTCAGTAGTCAGTACAGAGGGCTCCTGCCTTGATGCCTTGATGCCTTGATGCCTCAGGTCAAGATGAGATGCACTAGTCTAAATACGGTTAGCGTATTATGATGCAGGTCGGCCAATGTGATGTCGGAGTCGATCATCAACTGCGGCGATGCTCAAAGTAATTCTGCTACGCCTCTCCGCATCTCTGTTGACAAGCATCTGAACGTCCCCTTCTACTGTTCAAGCAGCGCTAACTCCAAAATGTCCGCGAAACCTCCCTCTAGCCCTTCTGACCGTTCTCCGAGCATTGAGAAAGGCGCCACGGACAGCTTATCCGAGCTGCCCGTGGACAACCAGAAAGAATCGAAGACTCGCGCCGAGGAGATACATGAAGAAGAACAATCAACACCGAACAAGGACCAGGGAAATGACACATCACTGAGCAAAACACAAGATGGCGAAGAAAGCACAACAAGCCCACAGGACGAAGAAGTCGCCAAAGAGAAGGACGCTTCTGCGCCACCATTACCAGACGAACCACTCCCACCACCGCTACCCAACGAGGCTCCTCCCGGTGAGGACGATGGCTGGGAGCCCGTCTGGGATGCAAACGCTCAAGCGTACTACTTCTATAACCGCTTCACGGGCGTTTCGCAATGGGAGAACCCACGGGTGCCGGATGCAGCACCAGGGCCTCACGGCGACGCCACGGAAGGCGAGGAGGAGAAAGACCCCGTCGTAGGCGGCTACAACCCGGCGATCCATGGTGATTACGATCCCACCGCGCCCTACGCGCAGCAGTATGAGGAGCAGGCCCTCGGAGGTGCTTCTGCGGCACGTGCCGGGCTGGATCCCAATGCCTCCTACGAGGCTGTTGGTGCGTTCAATAGGTTCACCGGCCGGTGGCAGCACGCCTCCCTGAATCCAGAGAATCACAACGACGAGAATAAGTCGCGACGGCAGATGAACGCGTTCTTTGATGTGGATGCGGCTGCCAATGCCCATGATGGGCGCAGTCTCCGGGCGGAGCGCAGTGCTAGGAAACTCACCAAGAAGGAATTGAAGATGTTCAAGGAGAAGAGAAGAGAGAAGAAAGAGGAGAAGCGGAGGGCGTGGCTACGCGATTGATGCGGGACGGGGATACGGATGGGATGGTATTGTTGCTTTCATACTGCTGCTGCTAGACTTTGAGATACCTTGAGATACCTTTTGATTCTGTGCATGGGTTTGGGGGCGTTTTGACAGCTGTATTATATGGGACTGCATAGCATAGAAGCAGTGTGCTTTTTTTTCTCTTCTACATTGACCTTCATTTCCCGCAATAACTCCCATAGTCTTGCATCACGGTGGACTCGGCGAAGCAGCCCAAGATTTCCCCACAATCAATCACGTGACATTGATATCGAAGTTTCTTTTCGCAACAATCAACGAGTATACAGACGGGTATATTGAGCAAACCGCGGAAGAATATAAACCTGTCAGATAATCTGTGATTCTAAGGTTAGTAAATTTTACATATTGTCTGTTTGTGGTAGCCGTGCTGGGATCTCAACTCTTGCGAGTGCGCCTTATCGATATATATCGAGCACGATGGAGGGGCACGACTATACTCTACAGATTGCAACTTTTGAGGACTAAAGATGTTCTCTGTTGATATTATTTTATGTCATTCATCTCCAGCTTTTCAATGGCGACCGTTAACCCACCTATTGTTTCTGCTCGGTTTGTTGAAAATTTTTCTCATTTCCAGTTGCCATCCATAGCGTCGAGATAGAAAAGCTTTTAGCAGATGAAAAACGAAACCTTATGTCAATCACTAACAAAAGTCACAGAACTGCATTGGGAGGCTGAACCTGAAACCAGATAGAGCCAAACCCGCACAACCACATAGCTCACCCCAGAAGCACATTGTCCCTTAAAAGCTTCATTGCAAGCTAGACAAAGGGAAGACAGCGCAAGATGGCCACCCCAGTCACGCTCTCCTTCGAGGCAATCGACGACCTCATCTACGACGCCCGCTCAGGCGACCTGGACGCTCTCAAGGCGGACCTCGCCAGCCAGAGCAAAGAGCACAACCGCCCGGAGGCCTGGATCATCGCCTCCGCCATCGACGCAGAGCCCGAGGCCGAGGGCGGCACGGGCTCCTGCCTGCTGCATTTCCCCGCGGCGAACGGCAACGCCGGTACGTCGACCATATTTTGTTTTGCTGAACTATTGTCTTGGACTGTGTAGATGGGGGGTTCGAGAATCCACCCGCTGACAGAGGCAGAAATCCTGAACTATCTCCTGGCAACTCTATCCGCGCAGTCTGCGTCTCACTCTCCGCTCGCGGCGGAGCAGATCGCGGCTGTGGTCAACCATCGCAATCACTCCGGGAACACGCCCTTGCACTGGGCTGCGCTGAACACGCACCTGGAGTGCGTCAAGGCGCTTGTCGAGTCGGGCGCGGATATCTCGATTAAGAACGATGCGGGTCTGGATGCTATCTTCCTGGCCGAGCGGACGGCTTGGTCGGCCGAGGAGGAGGGCAAGGAGGCTGCTGAGGCTGGGGCTGGGGAGGAAGGGCCCGGAGAGATGTCGAAGGGCCGGCAGGTTGTGGAGTGGTTGCTGAGCTCTGACAAGGCCGGTGACTTGGAGGGAGGTGTTAGTGTCAGTGCTGGTGTTGGTGCCGAGGCGTCTGCGTCTGCGTCTGCGTCTGGGGCTGCGGAGGCGATGGATGTTGATGAGAAGAAATGATTACGACTATTCTGCCCTGTTTGTGTGCTTTTGGATCAAAGATTTCTTTTGCTACGAATACCATTAGACAAAAGTTTCTGATTTGACACCCTCACGATGATATGTTCATTTCGATGGATCTAGATCTAGTTCGTATGTATGTGCAGCGTCGCTCTGTCTATCTATAGTGATATGTAAAACATGAAATGTACTATTAGTCGCGTCGAACCTTGGCTCGACCGTTTTGAGAACTGTCTTCTCGACTGGAGGCAGATAAGCGCGAGGCTGGACTGGAGTAGGAACCTTCCATCTGGACACCCTTCCCATTGCTGATTTCCCGGACTTTCATATCAAGACCAACCCGGAATCGTCGGTCACGCCATGTCACAGTGACTCCCCCGTAGAAAGCCCAAACCCAGATGGGCAAAGCGAGCATCTCTCGCCCCAACCATGCCGCAAACCAGTGGAGGAATGGCCGCCTCGTCCTTCGGCGGACGGGCGGCTGTGCAAAGCAGGGCGTGTCGTCGTTCAGCTCGATCGTCTTCGCGGAATGTAATTTGATGTACAATGTCCAGTCGACCAATATCCAGGCAACGATGCTCAGGAAGAAGAATGTGAAGAACGCCGTCCACGAGGTCATCTGGCCTGCGAACACAAACCCTTTACGCTGTAGAAATTGAGCAAGAGATGTGGTGACCCCCAAAGCCCCGTACAGAGAACATAGGATTGATTCCGTGCCTGGCTCAACCAGAGTCGCAAGAAGGACGGTAAACTTGCGCACACGCAGCCACCGAACTCGACGTGCCATATAGCCCCGGACACTCATGCTCGCCACAGGCTGGACTGCAAGGTCGCCAAAAACCATGCCATGCTTGCCCCAGCTTTCGCCCAATTCCTTCTCTTCCCGTATCTGCTTTTTCCAGAGCAGATCGCCAATCAGATGATCCTCACAGATATTGTCAGAGAAATAATCAATACCGGGACGGCGTGGCTGCGCGTCCGTCGGGGATGGTTGCGTCAAATAGTCCAGATGAGGCCGGCGAAACATGTTGGATTTCCCAACAATGCACGGGGCAATGAGAACCGTGTTGATGGCAGTATACATCTTCGCATGCGAGGAAGACAGAAACAACTCCTCTAATCGACCGCCTCCAGTCGCAAGCCAGCCAGCTTCTCGGTGCTGTTGCTCAATCACGGCGAAAGCCTCGCTCCTCTCGGAAAGAGAATCATCGCCTTGGGCGCACGCTTGAAGAAGGCCCTCTCGCTCCTCCCTCAACCCACTAGTCCCCGTCACATCCACCGCAACGGGCAAGTGGTGTACGAACTTGTACTTCCTGCGCGGTGTGTCCCCAAACCCACATAGTCTGTCCACCATACGCCCACAAACCCCTCGTCCCACCCACACGTTGCAGTCAAGGATCCATACAATATCACCCTTCGCCTCTCTGTATGCACGGCTCATGTTGCGAATCTTAGGATTCGGGCCCAGATTGTAGTTGACTTCATTGTTAGGCTGGAGTAACGGATCCTCTTCTTCGATGTAGATGTGCGCGTCTGCGTGCGGAAAATCCAACAGAAGTTTCTGCAGAGTCGGGTAAGCGGGGTCTGCTCGGGACGAGACGCAGAAGTAGACGGTCAGTTTGTCCCGGGGATAGTCTTGGTAGAAAGTCGCAGCCAGGCAGTCATAGAGATGCGGCTCGAGGCCTTTGACGGGCCGAATCGCGGTGACATGAGGGGCATTGGAGGATGAAGCTGCATGGGATTTCCGAGGTTTGCGCAAGAAGTGCATCCATCTGTTCGCGAATCATACATTAGTCCAAGTCGCAGGAGGCAATTGATAAAAAAAATACATTTGAAAGTATCCCAGAAGACAGACGGCGAACACGATCGTATACCAGATCAAGCACACCCAACCCACTGCAGTGGACCACGCGAATTCGCCATGTCTGACGGCCGATCCGACATTCAAGCGACTCAGAAGCGACTGAAGCTCTAGCATGGGCGAAGACAATGAGAGAGAGACGACTGAGAGGAGACGCAGACGTTCAGCGAGGACATTCTACTGCAGACCGGCGGTGGAAAAATTCGGAAGAGAAAGTGGTCGCCGGAAGCACTACTTGGATGTCGTCGATCGTGCTCATCGGCTGATTGACAACAGTACCGCCAAGCTACAGCTTTATATTGTCATGGGAGACACGCGCCTGCATGGGTGTCACTAATTTGAAGTAACTGGGTTGGTATTCCGGTCGGATGTAACGGCTCATCCCGTGGACTTGAGCGTGATGGTGGGGATAAGAGGCTTAGGAACGGGGACACGATGGCTCACAGCCTCAATTCAGGCAGCGCAATAATCACATTGTAGAAGAACAATGGCATGCAACTAAGGTTTAGTTACGTAGTCTCATACACTAGCTCATCGATTACTTCACAGCTCTATTCGGAAAAGAGAACGCGGGTTTGTTTCAATTACTTTATTTTTAATCGTTTGCAATAGCACTGTAGATCCATAATCAACGTGAATGATGATTTAATGTCTTCAACAATAAGCAGATTCCTTAACGCATTTGCTCCAAGGACACCGAAGCAGCCAATACCCGGCTGAACTATGTAGCTTTCGACCCAGCTCGAGAAAAGAAAGACACACCAAACTCCAAGATCGCCATGCTATGCAAAGCGCAGTGATGCGAACCTATGTCTTCTTCTTCTTTCGAATCAGGCTGGCATTGAGCACATTTACGCCTGATGCCTGATTCGACTGGACGGAAGTTGGTTTAACTTCTTCAGAATCCCCTGGAGCACCTTCTACCTCGCCTGGCTTGTCGCTCTCCGCATCAGCCTTTTTGCGCTTTCGAACCAAGGCCGTGGTTATGAGAGTCGTAGCGTCTGTGGGTTTCTGACCGAAATCCGTCGTAGCATTTCTTCCCTCGACCCGTTGACCGACCCAAAGCCGATCAGCGAGCCAGGCGACTTTCTCGCTCCATGCCTTAGTGCTGGCGATAGCTTGATCTTTGGTGTCAAAGTCTTGATCGATAAGAAAATTGATTGCCGCCTTGTAGTCTTCTTCACTCAGGACAGCGTGTCCTCGGCCAGTGTCTGGCCAGAAGAACGCACTGGGGCCAGTAGCTTGCTGCACTTTGGCAAGGGTGTCGGAAGACGAGTCACTGGGTTGGGTCACTGATGATGTCTGGAGATCACTTGTGGGAAGGGGACCTGAAAGATTCTCTCTGGAGTCTCCTGTGACTGGTGCATCGTGAGGTTGCGATGTAGCAGACGCAGACGCTACTTCACCTTCTTGTTCGGATAGCGATGCATCGCGGGTTATCTCGGATTTAGAGACAGTCTTTTCGACCTCCCGCGAAGCAACACGAGAGCTCGTCATCTGAACAGAATTGACAAGACCGGGCGGATTAATGACAAGCCACAAGAACCCGACTAATCGGCCGGCCGAACATTCCTGTCGAAAGGACATCATCTCCCAAAACTGTGCAAGAGACTTCACGCTTCGCCAATGACCAGAATTCTCCTTAACGCCTTCAGCTCCTGTCGACCCATGTAATTCATCGTCCAAGTCGATCAGAAAGCGCGTCTTTGGGTCATCTGGGAAGCGAGGAACGAGACACCGGGGCGGAGCGTTGGGATTATCACAGAGCTGATGGAGAGGGTAGCTATTCAACCATCTCGGTCGATCCTTGTCATCAGACTTCGCCGTGCTTGGGAAGAAGCCTCGAGTCTCGAACTTGTCGCATCCTGGAACGATCAGAAACGCCGTTGCTGAACTCTTCGCTGACTCCTTAGTTTGATCGAGCAGTGCCTTTTCATGAGAACCTGTCTCAGGCTCATATTCTCGTAAGATAGGGTCGATCACACGACACCACCATTTGATCAACCCACGATCATCTAAGACATGCTTTCCAGGGTTCTCGATGCTTCCGGGAAACAAGTACTGATTCTGGGCTCGCGCAAACAACGACACCATCAACCGGACTCCTGGCCGTTGGCGGGTCTGCACAAGAAACGATAGGAACGCATTTGAGATAAGTCTGAGAAGTGAGACCTTGGGCGCATTCTTCAGCAGATGCAGGTAGCCAGTTGAATCGGCCTTGGAGACGAAAATTGTTGTCAGATGCGCGGTGCCGTAGACCAGCACTTCGATCCCAAAGACGATCACTTCCGACTCCTCATTTTCGTCGGGACTGATGGAGACTGCGAGGAAATGGTTCTCACAGAAAGTTGACTCGGGTTCTTCGCCTGGTGGAGCTGCAAAGAGAGCCACACACGGGCTTGGGGCTGACGAGACATGGCGGATCGTCACCTTCACCCCGGTGGGGAGCACCTTGGCCAAGGAATCTCCCAGGTCGACATCAACTTTCGACATTTGAGCCGTCAGAAGCTCTTATTACGTTGAGGTATATCCAAGAGAAGAGATAGCCGTCTGTGCTCAATCCCAGAGTCTTTTCCCAAGACGCGTGCCAATCCACGGGCGTGTCACGTGTCTTTTTTCTCTGACCTCTGGTTAATGGAGAAATTCTACAAAAGAGATGGTGTATCACTCATTCACACTGTATACATATTTATTGCCTTACATGAATAATTCCAATTAGTGCACCCGTTAGAAAGCTCGCTCAATTCATGATATAACACTGATCGGTGAGCAAAATGCAAATCGGCTAAATGCAGACTGACTTAGTGGGTGTGTTATTCCCAGTAAAGCTCATCATAATGGTCAGAAATAATTTGCCGCAGCGTCGAGGTCATCGGCATTCAAGAGCGCAACACCCTCTTGAAGCAGAGTCCTCCAGACCAAATTACGGGTCCTGACCGGATAACTGGGCGTCTCCCAGTATCTGGCTCCAACGCCCCTTTCCTTTGCGGTTGCGATTTGCGAGCGGAGAGTGCTGAGCTGCTTTTCTGTCAATACCGCCTCAGAATCACTCAGTGTAACTGTGCCGATGGCGTCCGCAAAGCTTGTAGACGCGATGGGAGAGATCAGCCCTGTGATCCCGGCATTCTCAGACTCATTCAAGGACTCGAGGTGAGCATCAAAGAAGTAGTCCCGATTTGCGATGGGCCCAACCATGTCGTAGGGCGTGTTTCCGGTGCCAATCACGGTAATGGGTCCGTTGGTGATGGTCTTGTTATCCTTCAGAGTTGTCAAATAACCCTGTTCGCGGAGTGGTTCCAAAGCATCAATCACAGCTTTGAAGGTCTCATGTCCAGCGGTCTTTGCATCGATGAAGAAGTAAAGCGTTTGGGAGACTGAGGTATCGAACACGCCACTGATCAAGATCATCAGTTCTCTGTACACCAGACGCAACGAAGTTAACTCACTTGTTAGTGGGAGACGTCACAAAACGCGACCGAGGATTTTGGCGCTTGAGAACATCGAGCATTGGATTGATGTATAATGATTCCAGGGTTCGCTCTTCTGTTAGAGAAGACTCGTCATGACCGACCTATTTGATGTTAGAATGAGTCATCCATCGCCTCATGACTTTGTACTCACATAGAGGGTACCGTTGTACAGCCAGACATCTGCCTCCGTTGAGATGCAACCTTTTGAAAGACCTTCAAGGAGATCAGACAAAAACCATGCATACAATGCGAAATAATCAGAATCCTTCCTTACCAGTGTAGAAAGGCACATCCCTCCAATAATCACTGTCCAAAGTCTTAGAACCACTCTTGGAGATTGAGAAACCCCATCTCAACTTACTTGTGAGAATGAACTGGAATCTTATGTCAAAGCAAATCGCACTCGGTCAGCTCAAGTAGCTAACAACTGCATCGACTCAACGAAAAAAAACTCACAGGTACAATGCCCCTGGTAAAATCCGTAGGATATCCATACTCTTGACTTCTATGGGTATTCTGGAGGACGTTCTGAAGGTCTGTCGTAAGCCCCAATACCATATCCGGCAATGTGAGGATAACGGCGGATGCCGTGAAAAGCAGCGAGTGTGGTAGTAAAGTCATTTTCTTTGCGAGCACAAGGCAAGTATACCTTGTTGGATTGAAGTTCTCCAGGAGCAGGAACAATATCTACGAGATTAGAACGAGATTTTATTTCGGAATGGGATGTGATGATCAAGATGATCACCCAACGCCAAGTTATGATGCCGAGACAGGACTTGGAGCCAATCCCTGTCTCACGTGGAGTACAACCTCAACACTTACACAGCCATGTTCATCGGCCAACACAGGAAGCACAGAAACCTGCAAGTCAAATTACCCTATTTGGGCTCGAGTCCTCGTTCACGCTATCAGATGAGACCAGTTGATTGGCTAAATGTTGTAGAACAGATATGGATTAACGACGATTGATATTTATACAGCAGCCAGCATGACTGGCAATATACTAGTCCATAGAGCGCCAGTCAAGCATAATGATCCGATTGTGAAGCTTTGAAGGCCTATGCATTTGAAAATAACATCATATATCCCAAACACTGCCCAGCTGGTTGGGAGAAGGAAATGACAAAAGGACCCAGATGCTCTATACTTCTCGGACAGATGGTGGTCTTGAGCCGCTCTGGGAGTCCTGTGTACTACTGCGCCTGAGACTCAAATTTCCGATGCGCTGCACCAAGTTGCTTCCCACCGCGTCGACTGCGCCTTTCGGAGCGAGTAAACTTGGACCTTGCGCGGCCGCCTCCTGAACCCTGAAGAGTTTGATTCCCGTTCCGTTCCACACGCCAACAGTGCCGGGTGTAGCTCCGGATGCTGTGCCAACCACCATCTCACTAGAAAAGATGAATCCCCAAAGTAAAGACTCATACCAGCCCAGGGACAGGGCTGACCATTCAAAAGAATGTACCCGTACAGGCGAAGGCTCTGATAACAAACCTTGAATTGTGGGCTCTTCTGCAAAGGAGGGAAGATTTGCAATTAAAGTGCGAGCTTCCGGGCTTGACGCGGTCTGGAAAGCCGACTCGGGAATGTGGGGAGCAATGGCCGAAATGATCGTGAGAATAGTGTGAAGAGGAAGCTCTGGTAGCCACGACTCCAGCTAGACGTGGGATTGTTAGAACGATTAGACATAAATTACACGCGCGCCATCGAGTGACACTTACCCAAGTAACAGTCGGGGTAAAACCGCTGGACGTGGAGAAAATGGCAGACATGCTACTCTGACTGGTGATGCTGTTCTGCCGGGAGAAAGATGGCTGCCCAGCAGGCATCTTACCTCTAGCCTTCTCAGACATTCCCCGTAACTGTAGTGGCACATTTTCATCGATAGCTGATGAGGTCGAAGGCCTTCTTGAGTTGTGCAGGGAGGGCGAAGACTGCGACGGTGTTTCTTGCCCGTCTCGTTGGTCATCAGATTCGTCCCCGCCAATAGCGAAAGGGCTATTCTCTTCAGGAATACGAGTCAAGGGCGAACGTGCACCCGATGACACATGAGGATCCTCTTCAGCCTGCGAGAAGGTAGGGCTAGAGGATGAGTCGCGAGATGCAGCTTTAGCTTTCCTTCTTTCATTTTGGCGTTCGATCTCTTGCTGTCCACTTTCGAGGGTGAAAGCTCGGACAGCTTCAAAACGTTTCCTGTACTTTAGGATGGCATATACTAAGAACGAGTTTTCTGCGACAGTCAGTCACGCGAGCCAAGCCGCTACGAAGTGAAGGCATAGCGAGTCTTACTGGTGAACTGGTGTTCAAGTATCGAGTTTATAGATTCAAGCACTGAGGCTAGGAGGGCATGGTTCGTTTCGTTAGCTAGGAGGAAACTGGGAGCGGACATCGAGGAGAAGAGCTGCAGAAATCTGGAGCAGGTGGCGGGTGAAAGCCGTTCCAAGTAAGGAGCCACGTTGTTGATGATCGCTAAAAGTGCCGGATAGACAGCATTCAGCTTGCCTTTGCTTGCGGTAAGCAGAGTATGGATGGACTAAAACACATTTAGTACGTTTTCGCATGACGAATTCGGCGGAAGACGGACCATAACCAGATAATCCCCATAGGTACCCTTGAAGCCAGGAATACGAATGTTTTGAGGCAGCGTCTCCTGAGCCTCAAATTCCATGTTAAGACTTCTTCCAAAATTCGGTTCGACACTCATTGTTTGCAAAATAAAGATGCACATTCTGACAACGCCTTGCTTGGACGCGTCAGATTTGTACTCAATAGCGTAAAAGATACAGAGAATGGCAAAGTCATGGGAGCGATTTGAGTCAATGATAAATGACCTGAATCGCTTGTTGCACTGCAGGGCCTCCCAGAATAAGATGAGCATTTCCGGAGCCCATCTGACGGATTTCTGGCTGCCTGGAAGGTACGAGTTTGTGACTTGCATCTGCCACTCCATCAGAAATTAAGCACAGCCAGTTGTGGAATGCAGACCCACAGGTTGATTCAAGATTCTAGTCATGCCATCGACAAGGAATTGAAAGTCTTGCGGTCGGTGCAGCCGACCAAAGTAATGGCGATAATAGTTCTTCGGCGGTGTTCCACGACCATCCTCCGGGATAGGATATAGGAGGAGAACAAGAAGAAGTTGTAGACAGTATATAACTAAGATCTGCTTGGAATCTTTCCAGACCACATGGTCATATGGAACCCTCCATGACGCAGGGTTGTACTTGATAGACTGCGTGAGAGCGTGGTTAATTTGAGGCAATAGTCAGAACCATACATCGCCGTACATACAGTATTTAGCAATGAGCATAGCAATGTGAGGACAACTTGCTTGTCAGGGCAGGTCGTAATGTAGGTAATGGCCTTAACACCCTGAACAGGTAAGAGACCTCCAGGGTCGTCAGCGTTGCGTCCCATATATCGAAGACAAAGAACCTTACTCAAAGGCATGTACATGGCCTTTCCAGTTAATGTGAGCAATAGTCGCAAAATCTCGCAGCGGTTGCCTTCGAGCTCTTTGCTGGAGCCCATGGAAGTATTGCAGCCAACACCACTTTGCCATATCGAGTACGATACCTTACCTTTAGCCGTTGGGAGCTTTGGGATCGTAAAGTCTGTATAGAATAAAAGGTCTAACAGGGTGTCAATCAATTCCTCGGCCAAGGGCTTCACATCTTCGTAGTCATTGGCCCGAGGCAACATCTCCTCCTGCCGTCCTTCAGCCTGCGCTTCATCAAACAGCACTTCTGCTTCCACTTGAGGTTCTCTAGTCTTCTTCTTGCGTCGACCCCAAAAGAATTTCTCCTCCCATTCTTCTAGGTGCTCAGCCTCGTAGATGAAGGGAAGGATGCGCGTGAGTATGCGGATACAGTTGAGAGCGTCTCTCTCGGGAGCAAGGTCGGGATCTGGAAAAGACGGATGATTCTTCAGGACGGTAAGACGAGAGGTTATCGAAAGCAATAGTGTCTCGAAATTAGATAATGCTTGATCGCGCGTCCGTCGTATATCTGCGGGGGTGAATAAGCTGAATACATCCTCTGTCGACTCAGGGAGCTCCCAGAACTACACCGAAGCCGTTAGCGAGTTGAAGGTGATGAAAGATCAGATCTTATGGCAAGAGAGACAAACTCTGGTCCAGTAAGGATCGTCAGCAGGGATGTCCCTCTCCTCTGAGAGACGGAAGATTCCCTGCTTGAAGACCAACTTCGACTCCGAGGCTCCCATAGTGAAGCGACACCGGCGCGGATTGATGGCCTTATAACTTCATAGGGTGTTCAGGGAAGAGAAAAATCTATATCCAGAGTTCAAGTGCTTTCACGGAGGTTCTTTTGATATATATCGCTAAAAGAAAGTGCCAAGTGTGGGCAAGCTGGTTGTATGTTGGTGTTGTGGTTCGCGGGTCCGTCACAGCGGGAAGTTACCTCTAGACCAACGGAGACGGTAGCTCATCCATGATGCGAGTTTGAACAAGAGACCACAATAAAGAGTTTCATCAATCCGCTGACCACGCTACCAGAGTTTATTATATGCTTTATTGAAGGAACAAAGCGATTTCCAGTGATGATAATCTCTATGTAGGTTGTAAAATTTAACGCTCAGTCTAAGGAGCTCAATGTACACGACACCTCCGATTCGCAATTACGCCAACGCCGATCAACCCGAACTATAGACTCCCGTTACTAGCAGAGAGTCGCCTACTTCTTTCATACAACCACTTGTTGCTTAATCCCAGGTTAGCGCGCTTGCCCCCTACAGGCGAAGGACTCGCGGGCCCTATGCTAGACTCCCCGAAAAGCGAGCTGCGACTGAATACCGAAGAAGACCCGAAGCTTGGCCGTCGCCCGTTCTCCTTGCCTCCATTCGATACGGCTTTGTACAGTAGCGGACTTGTCGATGGCGAAAATGATGCGCCCGACGAAAGTCTACGCCCTGAAAGACCAGCACTTCCGGATAGGGGGGACGATGCACCTTTGCTCGCTGGAGTCGCTGTTCTCGAGGCAGACAGTCGATACCTCGGTGGTGTAATGTATGTAGTCCCCGGTATAAGCGGTGGAGTCGCGGACGGATCAAGTCCGAGCAGGGAACGCTGTGTAGGAGTGAGAGGGATATCGGAAAGGTCATCTTTCGGCCGGAACACAGGGTATAATGCAACCAGGATGTTCAACACAAGAATGAGCTGCACGACGAGCAGCGCAAGCTCTGGATAAGCGGGGTACTGGCCCAAGTTCTGTAGGCGAAGCGAACTGCGGGATCTTGGTCAGAAACATCGAGTTGCAAGAATCCTCGAACCGACATGGCCATCACTCACTATGATTTAACCGTGTTTCCGAATACCCAGGTCGCAATCAAGGCGGCCCCATTCCAAACAAGCTTTCGAATATTGCGATCTCCGAATGTTCCAGCATTCTGTCGCCTTACAATTTCATTGAGGTGAGGATGGCGCCATTTTCCAGGCGTCCGTGAGGCATCCGGGACAGGGGCGGGCACCGATACGGCTCTGGGTGTAGATGGAGCAGATTGAGACGCCATTGATATTTGGCTGGAAAGATATAGAAAGGCCGCTAGCTGAAGTCAGAAGCAGGAATTATGATCGCTAGGAGTACTACGAGGACTCACCTTGAACAAAAAGAGATCAGTGTGTGTGTATGTGTTAAAACTTACCTTTGAATTAACCCAATGAGCTGGACTTGGATCACGCGTACATTTGCGTGTGGTCGTGCAGGCGTCTCAATGGTCGACCTGAACCATCACTGCGAAGATGTCGACAGCCGTTTGCGAGTTTAAGATGTGTTGGTGGAAATGTGATGAGTATTGTTTTGACGAGACGCTCAAGAAGAATAACAAGAATGACCGCTTAGTGGTCACAGGCAACAGACGCCTTTGCCGCGAAGTTTTCAGCTAACCAGGCAGATTGGGCCCTCCGTAGCTAGACGCGGCTCTCGGTCCGTTCCCCACATCCACATCATCTGTGCTCCGTAAGCAGCTGAATCCCCTCACGTCATTTCGTTGATTCATCTCAGAATGGGATTACAACGTCTCGAAACCAATTTCTAATTATCTTGTGGCTTCTGATTTGATAGATCAGTCTTGAAACTCAAGGACTTCGCAAAATGGCTTCAGAATCGTCAGCCTTGGCGAGACTGGATGCCTTGGCCTCCGATATTCTAGCTGACTGGAACATTTACACGACTTTGATCGCAGGCACTCTCATTGCTTTCATTGTATACTCTTTTGTTACATCGAAAGATGCCGATATCCATCCTTTCTTACTTGCTCGTCAATCAACGGCTTTCCTTGTACGTCAACCCGGGGAATCAGCGGCATATAGAAGCCTAGAGACTCCGCACGGATACCCACTCAGATCGGGACTCAACATCAAGGACCCTGGGGCACCGAAGTGGACGAGTGGAAGAAGAGGTGACCTCCGTGATATCTGGAAGGCTGCTGTGCGTGGTGCTGTGTCAGAGAATGGTAAAGTTTCGGGGAAACAAGGAAAGATCTATACGGTGCTTGGAAAGAAAGCCGTCGAGCATTCTTTGGACCAAGTCACACAGGAAATCAATGTCATCGGCCATCGTCTGCAGGAATCTGGCGTCAAATCGGTTGCTGTGTGTTTGACAGATTCGGTTGAGCTCCTGGCTGCCATCTTCGGTTTGGGCCCTTCGCTTCTTGCTCCAAGTACGTATGGAGCTGACTTGATGTTATCTAGCCGGTGCCTTCTATGGCTTCAAGACGATCATTATCCCCCACAACCTCGAACCTCAAGTCCTCTCTGCTCACCTAGAAAAGTCGCAAGCAGATGCTTTAATAGCCGAGGCCGGTGCCCTAGACTTGTCCCTGGTGGCTAAAAACAACAAGCAACTCTCTCAGGTCATTTGGGTTGCCAAGATTGGAAGCCGACACATGGACTGGAATCAAGTGCCAGGAGATGTCCAGGGAAGCCTGGAGGTAGCCGTATGGCATGAGTTGGTTGAGGAAAAGAAGGACCTGGCCGGCTTCGACGTTCCCAGTTGGGACCCGAACTCTCCTGCGCCCTCTGTGACCACTGTTTGGCCGACCAAGTCTCAAGTGGGCGATTTCATCGAATTCCAACCAGAGGTTAGTTTTCTCGACTGAGAATTTTGCTTTGCAATCGCGGCTAACTCTAATCAGAATCTCGTGGCCGGAATCTCGGGATTGACCTTCTCCTTGCCTCGAAATCAGCGATTTAGCCCCGACGATCTGGTACTTTCGATCGATTCTCTCTCTCGCTCGTACCCACTGTGCCAGATCATGGGTGCACTTTTCTCGAATTCTTCTATCGCTCTCAACTCTGTTGCTGGCGAGGGCGTTGATTTTGCCTTGGCTACTGTTGGAGTTTCGCCGACTGTCATTGTTGCTTCTTCCCGCAGCATGTCCGACTATCATGACAGGCACATGGAACCCCACGCCGGTGTCCTGACGTCGATCGTCCGCTGGTTTCAGCTGCGCAAACTGGATGCTGGAGTCATGCCTTCCCATGGACTAGTAAACCAGGTCGCTAGTATCGGACCAACTGCTGAACTCTCCCTCGAGAAGCTTCGCCTGTTATGTGTCTCCCATCGGGCTGATGCCGACCCGGCTGTTTGCCTGACATCGGCCCAATTGACAGATCTTAGAATCTTCTTAGGTGCTCGCGTTGTGTACGCCCTGACTGGCGCGGGCGTGGCAGGTGCTGTCTCCCAGACCAACGTCTTTGATTACCGACGCTTCAGGGGGCCGAGCCACTTTGGCGCCCCCTTGAGCTCTGTTGAGATTCTTTTGACTGGCGTGTCGGATGAGAACCCACTCGAAGGACAGGTGGGTGACATACTTTCATTTTTCCTTTCCCTGTCCTTGTGTTATCCCATTCGCTGACTGCTCCCGAATAGATTACTGTTTCCGGCCCTGCCGTTGTCTCTGATAAAACCAATCTTTCGTCGCGGGGCCGCATACGGGAGGACAACACCTTGGAGCTTTCGCTCTGAAACTATCCATATCTTGGGTATTCACATTGACTGCGCATGTATTTCGAGCGTGCCCTGTTTTTTTTTTTTTTTTTTTTTTTTCATAGGCTACTGAGCCACTCCCGGTTGTCAAGATGGATCGCTAGTTCTTTGAGTTCATTGCGGCGCGCCCGCTGCCATTTCGCAAGATAGGATCGATTGGCAAATACAAGATTGAAACAAATTCTAACAGTGGTAATATACATATATGAAGAAGCCAATGGTGAGGCAACAGGGTCAAAGCTGATGCAGGAGCTGGCTTTGTTTATAGCCCACCGTCGGCTTTTGCTGGACTTCCTCGGGTGCCATTTGCTTTTGGTTGTCAATCAGGAGACGCAACTCGTTCAAGCGTCTCTTCAGACCACCAGACACAGATTTTTCATTTGCGATCCCCTCAACCTGAAGGGCGAGCTTGATTCCGTTGTAGATAGGTACGTTCTCCTGGAGCATGTGATCGACAGCAACCCAGTCCTTGATTTCGCGGGAAAAGGTGCCTGCCTCCCAGTTCGCGAGGAGGCGCTGAGCATAGGCATACACATCGCCGGTCTTATCCTTGCCTCCCAGTTCGTTCACAGCACGAGCAGCGCTGAGCTCAAGGAGAGTGCCAATGACAAATGGTTGCCGCTTGGGATCTGCCTCCATGCTCTCCGTCTTTTTCGGGGCATGCTCCGGAGCTTCCATCAACGCGGCGAACTGCTTAGCGATGGTAAGCGCCTTGGATACTGCGGGATCCTTGAACTGCCCATTCTGAGCTTTCCGGTGGAGCTCGAAGAAGATACGCTGGGCGATTCCGTTGTTGTTCAGTCGAAGACCGGTTCGTTCTGCCTGCTTTGCACACTCGAGGATGGCACCGAGTGCGTCGGCCGCACCAGCTTTGCGTACAGTCCACTCCCAGTTCGCGATGCCTAGTTTTCTCTTTGACATTCGTAGTCCGCCAAGGAAAGGTACGAGGTTCTGCCAGTCTTGCTTGGTCTTCATGAGCGAGACAACGTTCCTGAACTCTTTCTTTGGTGGTCTGGACAGCGGATCCATGGGCCGAAGTTGGTAAGGCTCATCGTTGTCGCCAATATTTACCGTCACGGGTTCCTGCTCAAGTTTCTCCGCATATTTCTCCCGAAACATTAACCTCCTTTGCTCGGTATTCAAGCCAAAAGGTATGAAAAGCTCTTCTCTGAAACGCTTGAGGGCCTGGTCCAGTTCGGGGGAGGATGTCGGAGGGAATGTGGGAATTGCTAATAGCAAATCATGTCAGCGACTTTCGCCACGGGAGATTATCTGCTGTTAGATTTAGACTGGTGCTTACCATTATGCGAATATGTGCGGCTTTGTGTAATAGAACTAATGGATTGACGCAGAGAGCTGGTGGTCTGGCAGCGGAAGAGCCTGCCAACGGCGCTTTGCGCCATTTTATGTCGGCTCTGGAAGTGAAATTGAGGATAGTGTACTTTTATGAACTGCAAATCAAGGTGCCTGATGACCCAAATAGGATCCAGAACGACTCGAGGGCTGAGATGAGTTTATTTTCAAGACAAAAAATCCCCCGGATATCGAACTCTTGGAGTTGACCCGAACAGGCAATTTGAGGCTTGGCGGAAATTCTGCCGGACCGGATCAACCTCCGCCAGCGAGAAGTGCATGATCTTTACAAGATTCTATCACTATCAATGAGCTATCCATCACGCTCAACTTCTACACTGATGGCGGCCTTTTCTCCCATTTTGCGGCAGCTGGGCTGCTCGAGGTCGCTTATGAAGGCAGACGGATTGCTGCGACCCCAATTGAGCCGTTCCATCAGCACCGCGTATTCCCCGAAGCCAGAGCCTGCACCTCTTCCTTCCAAACTCCCAAAGTCGTTTCTTTCACAAATACCTACTCGGTTGCAACCAAATGCTGGTAATTGTGCCAAGTCTCCCGCTTTTCGCCGTTTTCACTATGTCTAATATACAAAACAGGACGCAAGAAGCTCAAAATCTACCCACCACCCTCGACACCTCGTGCAAATTGCAAAGATCCCGTGGCAGCATTGACAGAGTCTCAATTAGCCACTCTTGACCCCACAGGTGAGCGTAGAGCTCTGTTCGATTACCGCCGAAACCCCCGAAGCGTGAAAGTGGGCGACATTCTGCGTGTCACATTCAAGAACGGAGATCCATTCTCGGGTGTGTGTCTCAGCATCCGTTTACGAGGCATCGATACTTCTTTCCTTCTCCGAAATGAGCTCACGAGGGTTGGCGTGGAGATGGCCGTGAAGGTTTTCAGTCCAAACGTGGAGAGTGTGGAAATTGTGCAGAGGACGGAGAAGAGGAAGAGAAGGGCAAGATTGTACTACATGAGGTGTGTACCACCATCCGATGATGGGCATCACCAGGAAGAATGTTCCATCTGTGCAGCGAAGCTAATATTTTCCTCTCTCAAATCTACAGGAAGCCCAGGCACGATATGGGAAGCGTCGAGAACATTGTGTCGAACTACCTGCGGCAGAAGTCGGTTCTTACTGGTCAGCGTTCAGCTGGTGGACGGAGACAGAGACGGTGAAATGCAGCAATTTCTATCCTGTCTGTACTATGACTTTGGCGAAATGTATTACTACTGCTACTACTTGCACATGGATATCTGGGAATCGACATTTGTTGGCATAAACATTGAGACTGGAACACAGACCATTTCCAGTTAGCATCTACTGCTTTGACATTGAGAACTGCCGTCTGTGAAGTACATTGACCTCTGGATAATTCCAACATAGTCTTACAACAAACGAGGTATCATGATCGGTGATCGGTACTGTATTCGCCGATCAGTTTGTCACGTTGAGAGTGAAATGCCCCGTGAGGCTTGAACCTCAGCCATGTCTCAAATGGAACCACCGATTCTCCACCCCTACCGATGCTACGTGATAAGTGGACAGAAAAACAGATCTGGCAGTTGTAGCAATGTAGACAAAAGATCAATAATGACTAGTGCTATGCCGCATGACGACACCAGACAGTAGCAAGTATTCGAGTCATACGAAAATTCTGGAAGCCATCGCTTCGCTTATAAGATGGCTGATTGTTGTAATGGGGGGGAATTCCCTCAGACGGTTTCTGGGCGCCAACCGATTTTCTCGGTCGACGCGATCTGATATGGTGTATTGGCGTCCAGTCCAATGACAGCTGTTCACTGAATCGATCGCAGGTGCCTAGCCAGTGGGCAGTGCTGTACACATGGGTTTGCCATGCCAGGAGATCCAAGACTCGGCTTCTGCGCCAAGATGAGGTCGCTTAGACTTCATCAGCCTGGTCGTCTTGCGCTAATCGCAAGACATTTCAATAATAATCGCGATGATTTCAGGGTTCATCCAGTTCGATCTTAACACTCACTCTTGCTTCTCATCGGATCGAGGATGAGTTCAGGAGTTGTTGGATATCGCTGTTTATCGAACCGTAGGCGACCATGTTGAATCTCTTCCTTAGGCAGATTTGGACCCTGACAGTCAAGAATCTTCTCGTCGTCCTTGTGCGCCCATCATTCACAACCACCCTCAGGGCTCTGGTCTTGCCAGTGATTTTCGTTGCGTTCATGTAGATTACCTATGTTGCCTGTTGTTTTGATGAAATGCAGTCACTAATCGAAGTAGATCTTTCGCAAAGAACCTTTTCATCACTCCTGCAGATTATGGCGTCGGCAGTCCCACTCCCCTCCGTTCGCTAGGAGCTGCGCTAGGGGCCGTCTCAGGGAATAGAGACAAGGTGGTCTTTGTTCACAATGGCCTGACTGGCGGCGATGTTGAGCAAGTCATTAACCAAGTTGCGGATCCCGCAAGGGCCAGCGCAAAACAAGTACATATCCTTTCGTCGGAGGATGAGCTACGAGAGTTGTGTCGAACCTCGCTTCGTGGAGTGTCATCATGCATAGCTGCGGCTGTCTTCTACTCTTCTCCGACTGAAGGACCAAACGGATACTGGAATTACTCAATTCGCACGGATGGTTCCCTCGGTGCTGGGATCAAAGTCGACCGAAAGGACAATGATCAGGAGATCTACCTCCTTCCATTCCAGCATTCGATTGACTGGGCCATAGCGCAGGTCAACTCGACCAACAACGGTAACGCGCTTCCGAGTCAGGTACGCTCAATGAACATGGTGCTTCTGGCCTACTCAACTAATTCTTGTATAGGTTGAGGAATACCCGTTTACGTCCCTTACCCAAGATGAGCGACAGGAACAAATCCGAACCCGCTATATGGGCGCCATCATTGACGTCATCGCCGTGGCTATCTTCATTGAAGTTGTGGGAGTCACATACCAGCTTACTGGGCTAATAGCGATGAAACGAGAGCTCGGCATGAGCCAGCTGATTGATTGCATGATGCCCAACACCTCTCACTGGCAATCACAAGCTGCTCGGTTTATTGCGGCACACCTAGCTTTGGATATTGTGTACTGCCCAGCATGGATTATCTCTGGTGCGATCCTGAAATTTGGGGTGTACAGCAAGACCTCGGCTGGGATCGTGATAATCTACAATGTGCTGGCCGGCCTCGCATTGTCCTCTTTCTCCGTATTCGGTGCCTCGTTTTTCAGGAAGGCTCAGCTCAGCGGTATCACTATCGTCATCGTCTGTTTGATCTTGGGAGTTATCGCGCAACTGGTGCCTGCCTCGACAAACGGTGCTGTTATCATTCTGAGTCTTCTATTCCCACCGATGAACTTTGTTTACTTTTTTGTTCTCATGGCTCGATGGGAGAGGCAGGGTCTCTCTACAGACCTCGTGCACGCAGCTCCAAAGAATCCGTGGACAGTTCCCGGCATAGCCCTCTGGATTCTACTAATTGTCCAAATCATCGTCTATCCTTTACTCGCAGCCGTGGTCGAGCGAGTTCTTTATGGCACCACTTCCAAGAGTCGAAGGACAGTGAACTCCGACGACTCGACCGCCGTGCGTTTAAATGGATTTACCAAGGAATATCAGCCAAGTTGGTTCTACCGAAAGGTAGCTCCATGGTTTGGACGCAGCAGACAGAGCGTGCTGGCCTTGAAAGGCCTTTCCATGAACGTTAGAAAAGGAGAAATCATGGTCTTCCTCGGTGCAAACGGCTCAGGCAAGTCTACGACACTGGATGCCATCTCGGGTTTGACGACAATCACCTCCGGAAGTATCGATGTAAATTACGGCGACTCCGGCGGACGATTTGGTCTCTGCCCACAGAAGAACGTTCTCTGGGATACGCTCACTGTGAAAGAGCATGTCAAGATCTTTAACAAGCTGAAGAGCACGGGAGAAGTGGACACTAATGATCAGCTTCTGAAATTGCTAAACGACTGTGACCTGGCCCAGAAGGTGAACTCGCGCTCGAAGACGCTCTCGGGAGGTCAGAAACGAAAAGTTCAATTGGCCATGATGCTTACCGGCGGCTCATCGATTTGCGCTGTTGATGAGGTTTCATCTGGAATCGATCCCATTGCACGCGCCAAAATATGGGACATACTTCTTGCCGAAAGAGGATCGCGGACAATCCTTTTGACTACTCATTTTCTGGATGAGGCAGACCTTCTCGCCGATCACATCACTATCTTATCCAAGGGGTTGCTCAAGGCGCAGGGTTCGAGCGTTGAGCTCAAGGATAGATTGGGCTCAGGCTACCGAATTCATGTGCTCAACGTCCCTGGCTCGGAGAAGGTATCTGGTCCACAGTTCGACAGTATCGCAAAAGAGGTTCATTTTGATGATACCGTCTACACCGTGAAGGATTCCGCAGAAGCTTCTCGTCTAATGTCAATGTTGGAAGACAAAGGTGTCACAGAATATCGCGTCAGCGGGCCGACGATAGAGGATGTTTTTCTCAAAGTTGCAGAAGAGTTGGACTCGGACATACTTCGAGAAGAGTCTCACGTTGCACCGAAGGGAACGACTCACACTGAAAAGAATCCTGGCACCGGTGACAGTGAAGGGCTTCAGCTATTGACTGGAAAACGCATTGGCATGTTCCTTCAGTCATGGCATTTGTTTCGCAAGAGGGTCACAATATTGCGCCGCAACCCTATCCCATACTTGGCGGCTTTGCTCATCCCAGTCATCGCGGCCGGACTTGTTACACTCTTCCTAAAGGGTACTACAAAGGCAGGTTGTTCGGGTGACAGCACATATCGTGCATCTGGCTTCGAGTCACTGGCGTCTCTGGACCACTTCAAATTTGTGGTTGGCCCTCGAGACAAGGTGTCTACTACCGTGCTTGAGAGCTTCATTGGCTCCCTATCTGGTTCGACTGGGTCAACTCGGAATGCGTCTTTGGATCTCGAGTCTCGATTTCACCTGGTAAACAGTATCACGGAATTCGAGGATTATATATCTCAAAACTATGCCAACATAACACCTGGCGGTTTCTACCTGGGAGACACATATTCTGTGCCTACCTTCGCGTGGAAGG